CTCTTTCTGGGGGTGGATTCCAGTTCTTTACACTCTGAGGTTATAAGTAAACAGCTCAAATTCCTGATGGAGCTGAACATTAAGGAGGTAGTGCTGGACTGTGCAACTCTGGGTAGATTTGCATTTTGTAGAATGGTAGAATCCTTCAGGTTGGAAAAGACCCTTAAGATTGAGTCCAACTCTTTTCTGAGGCAGTAAGGCCCAGGTGAGTGAAGACATAACATGAAGATGGGGTGAAGGGGAGCAGGGGGGCTGTTTAGCACCACCATGAGCATTTGATTCTGTTTTCTTCTTGCAGGCATACCCAACCTGATCACAGCTGATATGATCAAAGAAGGAGCTGCAGTTATTGATGTGGGGATAACAAGAGTGCAGGATCCTGTCACTGCCAAGTCAAGGCTGGTTGGCGATGTGGATTTTGAAGGTATGGAAAGGCTCTGCATCTGGTTCCTTGAGAGTTAAACATCTAGGGAGCTGAGAGGGGGAGGAGAAAGTCCCAGTTCATGTGACTGAGCAGAGGCAGACTGTGCTTCTGTTCTCTTGGTTGGTGCATTCAAAATTGTACCATATGCAAGGGTGCAGCTCTTCCTGTAAATATGCCATGGGAAAGCTGTATGTTGCAAGGCAGAGGAGACTCATCCTGAACCTAAGCAGTCAGGTTGCTTTGCCTCTCCTCCAATTCATCACTCATACTCCTGCTTTTAAATAAAAACATGCAGAACTTACCTTCTGGCTTGCTACTCACTGGCCTCGCTCACCACTTAGCTGCAACGTTGCCCAGACAGACTGTTGGCGATGAGCCCTGCGCTTTTGCGTGAGAGACACTGGAACCTCCTCCTGGAAGAAAGAGAGAGGGGGAATGTTAGTACTTTATTGTGGCTGCCCTCAAGGGCACGTGTGAAGCCCACATCTAGTCTTGGACTTGACATTTCTGTGCTAGAAATCCAGCTATTAGACCTCGCTTTTTGCTTTTCCCCTACCTTGGGCTTTGCAGTTAAGCCTGTAGCAGGGATGGACAGACTATGGTGTGCACTCCCCTGCCCTGAATTACAGGGGGGAAAAAGTCCACCTTGAGAAACTGCTATTCCTTAGCTAGTAATCTTGAAGGAATTTGAACAATGTTAGACTGGTTACAGCTTTGTACTGGCCAGCCAGCTTGATAAGTGTCGCTGCTTTTGACTTGTATGTGAAGCTCTAGCTTTCCTTCCTGCAGGGGTGAAGAAGAAAGCCAGCTACATCACTCCGGTCCCTGGGGGAGTTGGGCCCATGACAGTTGCCATGCTGATGAAGAACACCATCATTGCTGCCAAGAAGCTGTTGAAACCCAAAGAGCTGAAAGCATTAACCGCTTAATGTGGGATTCTCTTTAGCACTGAAAACAACATTCCAAACTGACTCCCAAACAGGCCGATAGAAAATGCAATATTTTTATTTATTGTATTGGAAGTGGAATTTCCTATTCTGAGGTCATAGATATTTACTGGAAGCTGAAGCATATGCACATTAGTTGTACTAAGGTGTAAGCATCTACGCTTCTGGCCTACTCATGCTAGCAAAGCTGCTTTATGTTTAAGCTAGCTCTTCTAGGAAGCCTGCCCTGCTCTTGCAGGGACTAGGTGACAGTCAGGATCCTGGGCATGCAGCTCCCCCGGGAGCTCGGTGTGGCGTTAGCAATCCCGTGGGAGGTAGAGCACTGGTCCACAGTGCAAAAGCAATGATCTTCATGGTTCTGTTCTCACAAATGCTCAGTCTGCCCAGACTGCTTGTGTTTGACTTGTGCTGAAGTCTTTATTCAACACCAGATGTTTAGAGTTACGCTCTTCTGTAGAAGAAGTTACTTGAAAAGGAAAAAAAAAAAAGCCATATGTCTGTTCGCAGCCTGTGCGGGGCCCTGGGCAGTGGCAGATTTGTTGTAACATGTTCTTCTAGGGTGCAGCTAAACTGTTTTGGTTGTTTTTTTTTTTTGCTATTTGGATGGTGACTTTTTTAAAAAGCCTTTTTTTCTAACCAAAGAACAATGGGGTGGGGACTGTTGGTGCCTACATTGGGCACACAGGAGGTTTCCTGGACTGTATTGTAAAGCGTGCAAGTACTTAGTGAATAATGCAGGCTAACTCTAAATAAAGTATGAGAAGACAAAAAAATGCTACTTGTGTCCTAGAATTATTACTGTGCAAGTTTTTTCACTTCTCCCAGAAAAGGAGAGCAGCCTCCAGCAATAGTTTACTATAGCACTTATGATGCAAGCTCCCTTGTCACTGCGGAGCAGGATTAGGTCTGGCTTTCTCCCTGAGTTTAGCTAAGACACAACTGCTACATGCATCACCAACTCAGCTTAGAAATAAGCAGGTCTGTTTGGTTTCATGCCTGAACAAAACCTGTTCAGCTTCCTGATGCCGTTTCCTAACTGCATGACAGTACAAACTTAGTCCTCTAATGAGTTTGTTTTGCAAGCTCTAATTATCCATTGAACATTAACCTTACCTGGGATCATGATGCCTTGGGAAGGATGGAAAAACTTACATGCAGCATTGTTTGTGGGCAGCGAGGTACGTGTCTTGGACTCCTTCCTCTTCGTGTATTCCCTGGAAAGACTGATCTCACCTTTCTGGGAGCAGGAAAGGTTTGTTGTGATGCTGAACTGCTGTTGCTGGAGGCACCTGGTGACTCGGCACTAACCCCACATTCATGGTTTTCCCCTACAGGGGAGGGGGCTTATAAAAACACTAACTGTGTGGGAAGGAAAGCTGAGGTTCAAGGACTCTGCACCAAAAACACACTAAGAGCTGAGACTCATTGAAATGAGGTTTATTGGGTTGTATCACTGATAAATACAAAATGGCTAAAGTGGTACTGTAATGGAGGTGGCAAATCTGAGACGCTCCACTGTTTTCATATACAAAAAGTAGAAACCACGTGTGAACCTTGCAAAAAGGACAAATTTAGTCAAAACAAGCTGGATGCTAGAGTGGCTTCAGCTCTATGAAACATCTACCAGAGTCCACAAAGCCTTTCTGGGGGCATGGGGTAGTAGAGCTGACGTACTGGCTAAAGCAAATGAACCTGTTTGATTAAAATTGTAAGTGTACCTGTACTGCGCTTCAGCTACCACACAGGAGATTGGTACAAAATGCTACAAAATAGACACGATGCGTTCAAGTTGAAATAGTTCTTAAGGTTAACGTCAAGCTACATGGCTCTCGCTTAAGTGGTGATGGGTGTAATAATACTGTGTTATTTATCTCACCACATTTCCCCAGGAGGTGTACTTGAACCAGAAAAAATTGCTATAAATAGGAAATTGCCTTCGAGTCTTTGTTGGACTTGGCTATTTACAGAGAACTGGGATCTGTCCCACACAAAGGTTCAGAGCAGTTGCAATATTTAACTGGTGTCCCAGAGACCCCCATACGGCTGGTATAAATATCAGGTAGGCTGTTTCGGCTTGGGGGAAGGGTTGGGGCTCTGTGAGGTTTGAAACAGAGAAAAAATAAAGACCGCATCTAGCAAAAATGAGTAAAAGCAACAGATTTGAGAGGATTGCTTCAGACCAGTGTTTCTAAACCACAGCTGGGTGTAGCCCATGGAAGGAAAAAAAACCCAAACAAACAACCTTTAAAAGCCTCATCACTGCCCTGGCGCTGCTGGAAAAAAGAGGTGGTGAGAGCCGGGCAGAGCCAAACTGAGCTCAGTGCCCACGCTGACTCCTAACCTGCTCCCTTCCCTTCCTTTCCCAGAGACCCCAAAGACAGCGACGGGTGGGAAGAACCCTTTGCGGAGCCGAAATGCCGACCGGAGACCAAGCGGGGAGCTGCTGGATGCGAGCCTGAAAGCACAGGTGGGTACGTGGTGGGGGACACGCTTGCTCTCCCCTCCCCGTTACGAGCCGCTTGCTGTTAAACCGTGTGCGAATAACCAGGATTGAGGAGCTAAAGTGGGCGCAAAGCCCCTCGCGCAGGGGCCGGGCAGGCGGAGCAGGGTCCTCCAGCGAGAGAACAGCTCGGGCACGTCTCGCTCCCGTCCGGAGGAAGAGATGCGGCTGTTACTGGGGCCAGGGATGGCCCTGGGAAAACCGCGGGTGAGGACATGGGGATGGGAGACCAAACGGCTTCGCTGCAGCAACCGATCCCATTTTCCGGCAGAAACCGTCCCCCGCTGCCTGCAGAAACCATTCCTGATTCCCTTGCGGAAACCGAAGCCCCGTTCCCTGCTCTGCTCTCCCACCGCGGCCCGTCTGCTGTTACCCTCAAGCGGCAACAACCTCACACCTGAACTGCTTTTCCTCCTTCCTGGGGCACAGCTCCTTTCCAGCCCTGCCATACCTCCTCGTACCCTCCTACACATCCAGCCCGGGGTGGGCAGAGCCGGGGTCCCTCCATGGCTGGCGGGTCCCTCCTGCATCCCCACCACCACGCCTGGGATGCTGTGCCTCCGGAAGGGACTCCCTGGTGCCGTGGGCTTGGACTGGCATCCTCCTGCCGACACAAAGCCCGACGCATCGACCCCTCCACGAAACGAGACTCCCCGAGAGCCGCGTTGCGATTTCAGGGATTGGGGAGCAGGGATGCACGCTCCCCTTTCCTTCTCAGCCATGCAAACCTCCTCCTCACCCCAAAAATCCCCCTTGAAAACATCACCCCGGCACAGTCCCCTCCCCCGTTAGCCCTACCTGCATCCTGGCTGCTCCCACAGCCCCAACCACCTTCAGCTTCTCCAGCCCAGCAACGGCTCCAGGGTGAGCGGAGGCCAAAATCACCAATTCCACCTTTTCAGCCCCGTTTCGCCACCAGCGGCAACGCCTTCGCCCGGCAGAAAGGGAGAAAATTCAACAACGTGTTTAACTCGTGACGCTAAAAACTACCAGAGCGACGGACCCCTGGGGTCACCGGTCTCCTCCTCCTCCTCACATAGAAAAATAAGCCCAATTTACTTTATATATATATATGAATATATAAATATCTATATATATATATAAATCGCAGAGGAAGCGCTGCGCGGGACTATAGCGTGGTCTCACTGCCCATGTCCCGAGGCGGTTTTTCAGTGTCGGTATCCTCGTAGTCCGACTCCATCTCTATCTTCACCTGGGGCACGGCGCAGATGGGGTTTCGGGAGTAGTTAAATGCAGGAGACGACGGGCACGAAATCTTCAGGTGAAGCGTAATACTGAGGAGGAGACAGGGAATTGAACATCTGGGCACGGGTACCCGCATCCCAAAACCACCCCAGCACCCCCAGCAAAGGGCTTTGGATGATGGGACCACCAGTAAAAATTCATTAAAATATGATATTTTGCCCTTAATATGTACGATCTGCAGAATTCACAGCTGCAGGTGGAGAATAATCCCAAGCTTTCAGGATTCAGATGTACATCCCAGTCCTATAAATCCCTGCGGCTGTTACCCAGTGGCATTTTGATTGCTCTAAACCCTCTTGCGCCAGGCTCGGGATGCGCCATCCCACGCAGTCCCGCTCCCAACAACCCGATAGCTGGGGCCAGCAAACGAAAGCACCCAAACTACAGAGGGATGTGGCGAAAATGCATTCGGATATTTCAGAAATGCCCGAGGATGATGGCAACAGGCTCGAACAAGTGAGCCAGGAGCATCGGTCAGTGACCCTGAAAATGACTTCCATAGCGGGTGCTGGTCCCTCGGGGATGGGGGAGCAGGTGGGGGAGCCCATTTGGGGCTGTTTACCTGCGATCCAGGTCTGAACCATTCGGGGAGGAATCAGAACGCAAAGCTCCAGGTGGAGGACCTCTTTCCTGGGGGGACACGGAGGTAAAACACTTCCTGGGTGAGGAAGGACACCCCCCCCCCCAACCTGTCACCGGGTCCAGCATCCTATGGACAGTGGGAGAAGGAGAAAATCTCCAAGAAATGCTGATTTGTGGGGTGATTAGAGAACGAGAAAAGCCCCACCAGCCCCTGCTAGCAGCAGCCTGAGGACAGAGTCAATGAATTATTGCGTTAATACTTGCTGGCAGCATGATGCAACCTGGTGCCAAGCTGGAACAAACACCCAGACTTATTCCGAATTTTTTTGGTCATGGCTGGCTTTGCACCAGCTCACATATGATGTTTCGGGCAGAAGGTTGAGCCAAACTGAACACATCTGCTCTCTCGCAGCCGGGATAATGCCGCCACAAGCTCTGCATCCCCTGCTTTTGGGGGCTCAAAACATCCTCAAATTATATATATATAAAAAAAATATATATATATATAAAAAAATATGTTTTATAATTCCCCATCAGCATTAGCTCAGGGGGGAGACCCAGGAGAGTCCTGGCTTCCCAGCCACCTGGAACACAAAATTATTAGCAGCACCGAGCCTGCTGCATCCTCTCAAATGTGCTTTCAATCCCGCTTCGGCAGGACGGATCCAGGCTGCGTCTTTTAGCGGGGTTAGTGCCATCGGTGGCCGAGCGGATCCCATTGCAGGGGGTGGTTAGGAAGCGGTAGGGAATGTGAGAGAGGGTCCTGAGCAATTTACTTACGGCTGAGGCAATGGGACCCCCCATTTTGGGGCTGCGATGGCAGGGGTTCCATGGGAATCTTAATGACTGAGGGAGGTGGGAACTGGGGAAGAAAGCAGGGAAATTCGGTGAAGGAAGCGCCTGGGTGGGCTCCAAGCCCACCTGGAGCACCCAAAGGGACCCAAAACCTCCAGAGGTGGGTGCATGAGGAGGAAAAGGAGGCTTTGCCTTCCTCTTCCCAAATAAACACTCAGCCCTTCTGCCCACGGAATGGTCTGCAGCAGGGGGTTGCATGGATTAATGATGCTTTGCCATCGTACGATGGGTGCTGTACCCTCAGCCATGGGATTTTGGCTCTTCTCCCTAATGATTTCTTTTCTTCCATGATTTTCCAGCTGTCAGGGCAGTTTGAGCATCCCCTGGAGCCTCTGGCCAGCCCCTAAAGCATCACTTAAAGCCCCTCAATCAGCTGGTCCTATATATGCAGTGAAACACCACCATGAATCAAAGATCTTCATCCCAAACCCACCAACCTGGAGGTTTCGGTGGGACCTTTCCCACCCTGGCCGGTCCAGGATGCCCTCGCTGTCCATGGGAGCACCCTACCCACCCTGTACCCACCTCCTCATCGCTGCTGCTATCTCCTTTGTTGCCTTTTTTCTTCTTCTTCTTGTCATCCTCCTTCTTCTTCTCCTTCTCGGGGATGATGTTGTCAATCCAGGCCAGGTCGTGTTGGGAGAAGACAAAATCTAGCAGCCGCCTCACCAGGATCAGGGCTAAAATCTAAGAGGGGAGAGATGCAAGAGCGGGACCTGCAAGAGATCTCTCATCCCAAGACCTGGGGACCACCACGGGACCAAGCCCCGCTTGCCAAAATTTCCTTAAATCTCAGAAAAATCTTCTAAATGAGAGCAGCCCGGGGGATGGCCTTACCATGACGGGGAAGATGATGGCGGCCACGGTGGATTTGAGGATCCAGAGGACGGCCAGGCAGACGATCTGCACCAGCGTGAAGAGGTGGATGCGACGCAACGGCACGTGCCGGAGGAAGACGTAGTCGGGTTGGTGCTTGGCTGGCATGAGGAAGAGCTTGCAGCGGTCCCAAAACTGCGGTGGGACGAAGGCCAGCATTAGCCCTCGGCCCCATTCCCCAGGCTCCCAGGTTGCCCAGATAAACCCTCTTTAATCCCCAAAATGGGGAATCTGGGGCTTTTCGACGTTTCTTGAAGGGTTTTGGATGTCTGCTGCCCCATGCAGCTGGAAATACTGGATGCAGGCAGATTTTTGGGTCAAAATCACCCTTTTTGCTTTGGTGTAGGTTCCCTTCATGGCCATTAAGGAGAAAGAGGAGGAGGAGCACTTACCTGGATGCCGTTCAGCGACGCAACGCCCATGTACAGAAAGACGCCGTAAAGCACTGGCATAGGGATGTACTGGGGACATGGAAAAAACACGGTGCTTACCCCAAGGAAGGTGGCAGCTCATTCCCAAGGATGGGGACCAATGCTGGGGGCTATGGGGATGGGGGGGAATCCAGCTTTTTCTTCCCAGGTCCCCAAACATCTGCAGGGAGGGAACAGGGATGAGGGAACAGGGATGTTTTACCTTCAGGATAGGGGCCAGGAAGACAGAAATCCCCGTCAACACAAAGACGATGATGCCAGTCACTCTCTGCTCCCTGGAACAGCGAGAGAAGCAGGATGAGGCCATGCTGGCTGGACCCGCTGCTGCGTCTGGATTATCCCCCCACCCCGAGGAAGAGCACGGCCAAGCCTTCCTCACCTGACACCCAGGAACTGGGGCTGCTCCCCCGGGGCGCTGGTCTCTGTCTCCATCTTCAAGCTGTCGATGTGGGCGATGGAGATGACGGTGGCTGCCACGTACCAGGGCAGCCCCATGAAGGAGCAGACGGCCATGAGGATGCCCACCCAGAACAGGTCCAGGTGGTAACCCGCTGCTTTCTGCAACACAGCACCCAGGAGGGTCAGGGTGGGCAACACGACTCATGAAGTTGTTCCTATATTCACCCCAGAGCCCAGCAAAGTGGGGTTTCCCCCCCAGTGCACCCCCTGAAACATCCTGCATTGCCACGGCGCACCCTGCATCACCCTGAAGCACCCTGCGTCGCCCTGATGCACCCCGCATCACCACAGTGCACCCTGCATCGCCCTGATGCACCCCGCATCACCACAGTGCACCCTGCATCACCCTGGTACACCCACCACTGCTGTGGTGCACCCCACATTGCACTGATGTACCCCACTTTGCCATAATACACCTTGCATCACCATGGTGCACCCCGCATCACCCTGAAGCACCCTGTATCACGGCACAGCACCCTGCATCACCCTGATGCACCCTGCATTGCCACGCTGCACGCTGCATCACCCCACACCATCCTGAAGCACCCCGCATCACCCTGATGCACCCCACTTTGCCATGGTGCACCCTGCATCCCCCACAGTGCACCCTGCATCACTCATCATTGCTGCAGTGCACCCCACATTGTGCTGATGCACCCCACATTGTGCTGATGCACCCTGCATTGCTCTCGTACGCACTGCATCACCCTGATGCACCCCACATTGCCACACTGCGCCCTGCATCCCCATGCAGTGCACCCCGCACTGCTGCAGCGCACCCCACATCACCACGCTACCTAGAGCATCGGGTGAATTTCACACCCCAGAGGCTTTCTCACCCCAAAAATACAGCTTGGAAAGGAAAGGGCGAGCCCCTGCTTTGCAGAGCGTGCCAAACCGGGGCAAAGCCCCCAAAGCAGATGCTCGCGGGGATGCAGGCGGTACCCGACGTGATGCTGTGCCCCCGAGCATGGGACGAGTCCCCGCTCACCCGCAGCTTGTGCTCTTTCCTGTTGACGATGACGGCTGTGATCTGCTGGTCCATGAAGATGAGGATGGTGACGAGGAGGGCGGGCAGGGCGCTCGCCAGGTAAACCCACCACGGGTTCTTCCCGAAGGGAAAGACGAACCACCCTCGGTCCACGCGGGTGGGCTGGGCGAGAAGAGAGGAGGTTTGAACACCGCGGCCAAGCCCGGGCATGGGTCAGAGAGGGGGGAAAAACCCAAGCGCTGACGTTTCGGGAAGCCCCACATCACCCCCGAACCTCCGAGCATCATCCTATCCCGTATCCATCCCTGAATGCCACCACCACACGTCGGTACCCAAATCACCCCCAGCATCCACGTGCCTCAACCCCCAAATTTTCCCAGATGCTCATCAGGACTCCCCACATCACCAACAGCGATACCCTGGATGGGGGGAAGAGAAATTTTTGGCAACGCTTCCAGAAAGGGATTTTATTGCTTTTTTTTTACCTTAAAATCAGTAGGCACTTGGAGCTTTGGGGTGTTGAGTCCAAAAAGCACATCCAGCCCCACAAACATTAGTATGGACATAAAGATAGAGAAATCGCTAATAAGTTTACGCAGCTGCCAGGAGTGAGAGAAAGAGAAGAGGGGAGAAAAAAACAACAAAAAAAGGAAGGAAGAAAAGTCACAGCATTAGAATATTCCCCCAGAAAAGACAAAGTAGCTTGTAAGAAGGTGCCCGGACACCGCAGGAGCCGCAATTTTCCCCGAAAACTGGAGAGGAGCTGGAAAGAGAGCGTGGGCGGAGAGGTGAGGGGTCCCCGCCGGTGCGGCCGAACCTTGATGATACTGGGGATATGGAGCTTAGGGGTGTCCAGTCCGAAACAGGCATCCACTCCGCAGAAGAGCAGGATGGAGAAGACATTGGAAAAATCAGCAATGAAAGCCCTGACCTGGAGGCAAGATGGGGAAATGGGGGTGGAAAGGGTAATTAATGGGATGGGGAGGTTAATTAATGGGATGGAGAGGTTTGCCTCTGCTTCAGCATCCCTCCCTGGGCTTTCCAGCTCTGCTCACCCACAAATAACCCAGGTATAACCCACAAAATGCAAATTTTTTTCCCCTTTGCATCGCAAGGTGATGGGTTATTCAGCATGCAAGAGCCAAATCAGCGGCTAAAAGCTCAAGAACGACTTCCCTAATTGCTACCGATGTCTCCTAGAAATACAGATTTATTTTCCTGGAGCATTTTGCATCTAGCAAAGAGACCAACAGCTCCCGTTTTTCCTACCTTTTGGAAAAGAGGAGGGCAAAACCCGGCACTTTCCTTACCTTGGTGGGGAAATAGCGGCTGAATTTGAATTTTTTCAGGGTCAAGGTCATGGAGTAGGTCCCGAAGAAGAGGATGAAGGACATAAGGGCCAGGTCAGGCACAAATTTACAGGATTTCCCCACTAAGCTGCCACCGTATTTGAGACATTCCTTCTTACTCAGCTGAGTCCAGTCCAGAGCTGTTAGGTTAATAGCATTGTACTGGGGAGACACCCCCCCCCCCCCAAAAAAAGCAAAATTAGCATTTTATGCAATTGTAGCAGGCAAGGAAACGGGTATTTCCCAGCCAAATAAAGCAAAATCAGCATTTTTAGCAACTGCAGCATGCAAGGGAAGGGGTATTTCCTGGCCCAAACCCCCAAATTAGTATTTTAAGTAATTGCAGTGTGCAAGGAAAGGACTATTTCCCAGGGCTGCTGCCACCAGGAGCCCCATAACCACAGGAAAACCCCAGAGCTACTATTAATTTGGGCAAAAAAGTGAGGATTTGGTGCTGCCGAGTCCAACTGTGAACCCAAATCAAGGCAAATCCCACATTTCCCTCATTCTGAGCTGGCGCGCGTCGCTCCCCGGATGTAGAAGTCCCTGGGATCTGCCCACCCTTGTCCCAAATTTCCCATCAGGATGAGCAAACCCACTTACCAGAGAAACGTTAGTGGTGTTTGGTGCCATTGGAGCTGAAGCATCAAACAAGGTCGCGTTGGCTGCGGGAAAGGAGTTTGTTATTGAGGTTTTTGGCTAATATCAAGGTTTCGGTATTAAAAGCAGCCGGGCTTCGCCCAGAGCGGCACGGCTCAGCCCGGCCGGCATAAAAGCAAACGCAGGGGGTCGAGCACATCCTCTGAGAGCCACGCAGGGATCGGCATCCCGAGGGCAGACTGGGATTTGGGGAGAAAACCCCCGATTTCTAACCCCACAGCGACTTCTCCCTGATTAATCCCATGCGCCGGCGGAGAACACGGCTTCTCCTTTGGTGGCTTCTCCCTCCAGGGCTGGCGAGTGCCGGGGGGGGGAGGAAGTATTTCTAGGAGCTTCCCAGCTCCTAAAATTTTCAGGAGCTTCCCGGGGAAGCCGCTGGCAGCAGGGCTGAGCAACCCAACACCTGCGTCTTAAAACCAGGGGGGTAGAAGACTGAAAAAGTAGCCTGTTATTTTTGGAGAGGTGGCACCCAATCATGCCCAATTTGCATTTTTTATTTGTTTTTTTTATTTTTAAAAATATTTTAGGGGTGTTTTGGTGTCTCACTGCAAAAAAATCCATCCTTTCTAGCCCCGGCACCTTCTCTTCCAGTGCAAAAAGTGGCTCCGCTCGGCTCTTCGGGTGACGCAGCTCCGTGGCTTCAGGAGCACCCATGTTCTTTATGGGTGCCCCTAAGCGTGATCCGGGACTGCTCTGCCCCCCCTCTTCCCTCCGGTCCATCCTCTTCCTGCACCAAGCGGGAATTTCGGCTGCCCCGACCTGCCGCCTCCATCCCCGGCGCCGAGGATTAATGAAGGAGAAGCGATTGCTGGGTTAGAAGAAGAGAACCCGGGGCTGCCGAAACTGGGCTCCGGGAAATGGCGCTGGCAAACCCAGCATTAAAAACTTTTTTTTTTTTTTTCCCTCATAACCTTTTATTTTTCCAGAAACCAGCCTTATTTGTGATTTCTACAACTTAAAGGGTAGCATACCACTGGTGGTATTTTACGAGAGGACCCCTAAGGGCTCTACATCAACCCTTTTAGCAGAGCAGAGAGAAAAGTAAAATACATGGAAAAAAATAACAACAAGACCCCCATGGGGGAAGAGTATCAAATATTAAAATAGTTTTAATATTTAGAAAGTGATACTCACTTGAGATTGAAATCAGCCCAAATTGATGTGTGCAGCAGAGACAAATATGGTACAAATCAGTTATAATAATCAAAAATCAGAACTAATTAAAAAAAAGATTAAAAAAAAAGGATGTAGGGGGGAATAAACATAATTTCTCAATATCTAGAGGAATGGAAAATCCAATGCGGACACCGCTGCCTTGGGTGCCCAGGGCAGCGAGGGCAAGGAATGGGGCTGGGTTGCAAAGAGGTTTAAGGTTTTTGGGGTGCAAATGCCTCTCGGCTGCCTGGGGTTTGCTTGGGATGGGGGCTTGGAAGAGGGGGAGACCTCCCTGGAGGCTAAAGGCTTCGTCTTCCTCCTGCATTAAGCCATGGCGGTGGGTGCTGCCGGGCAGATGCCAGCACACACGGGTGGATGGAGGTGGTCACGGTCCTGTTCGGGATATTTCAGCCCCCCGGGGATTGCGTCGGGCACTGAGCTTCGCTTTCCTGCAGGTTAAATTTGGGAGTGTTTTGGTTTGGAAAGGATTGTGTCATCTCCAGGTGTTCCCCACTGCTTGCGGGGCTTTCAAAATCCAATGGGAACCGGTCACTCAGCGCGTGGTTGATAAACAGAAATCGAGGAAAAAACAAAATTAAAGCAAAAAAATGTTTCTTCCATCGTGGTAGGTAAGAACTCTTCTTGCAATGACAGATACATTGAGAACACATTGTGTGGCAGATCTTAGATGCTTTTATTTCTGGGGAGAACTTCACCATCACACCTCTTTGCCTCCTCTGTCTGCAGCTGATACTCCCCAAAATTCTTAGCATTTAGACTTTTTAAGTAAATTCAGCTCGTCTGAGAGCAGGCAGTGGCTGCGATTAGCCCAAAGCAAAGATCTCTGCTCCCTTCCAGGTGGCCGTGGGAGCATCTGAGCTGCACGATTCGGACCAGGGATGATCCGGTACGTCTATCCAAGAGCAAAACCACTGGAGCCATCAAAAGACCGTCTGCTCAGAGCCTGATGGCCTCTCCTTTTTGAAAAGGAGTTAGAAAGATGAGAAAAAACAGTCCAAGGAGGTTTCCACACCCAGCTGGGACATCCCGGAGTGTCCCAGACACTAGGGAGGACAAAACCCCTCCAGCATGTTTTCTGGAGAATAAGTTTCCATTCGCAGCAGGCTGGTATTAATGATCTAAAATTTTTTTTTTTTTTTTTTTTTTTCATATTTCCTTTTTATCCATCCAGGTGTGGCTGCTCCAGGCTGAGGCCCCAGATCTCCGGCACCGTTCACCACGTCCCGGCAAGCACTGACGTGTTCATCCATGGGGGACAAGGCTTTTCTTCCATCTTGCCCAAAAACACCTTCAGAGGAGGAGGACGAGGTCCCTCCATCCCACACTGACTGGGTAGCTGCCTCCTTCCATGTCCTCAGCCAATGATCCAGCAGGATTTATCCGCAGTGGGACCCCCCCACCCCCTTCATCTTCCCCATCTGGTGCCGAAAAAGATGTGTACTCACCTGGGTCAGGAGCAATGCACTCGCACTTGTACATGGTCACGTAGTCGGGCTTGAAGTCCGAATTGATGGGATAGTATTTAAAGGCTCCGATCATCTTCTTGATGGCGTCGTAGATGAAGATGAAGCTGATGAGGGTGGAGAAGCCTTCTTCTGTGAAGCGGGTGATGTACTTTATAATGAAGCTGGCGTCGGTGGCCACCAGGATAAGGCACTGTAGGGCAGAGTGCAAGCCAATCCAGAGGCGAAACTCCATGTAGTCGATGCCATTGCCTCTGAAAGCGGGGACAAGGCGAGAGCAGCCCCCTGAATGCACGCTGTGGGCTGGAGGACAGCTCCCATCCCAGTATGGATGGGTCCCGGTTCCCCCCAGCATTGCCCAGCACCTACTTGCTGAAGTCAAAGAGCAGCTTCTCGAAGATGAGGATGGGGCCGGTGCTGCTGAGGATGATGAGCGGCTGCCCAGCGAAGAGGCAAAACATGGAGCCTGCCATCGCCGTGCCGAGGAAGCTCTCCATGACGCCCTGAGGATGGATCAAATCCAGCGTTATGGTGATGCTGTACAATGTTACATCCCTATGGATACCCCTGATGGAGACAGGAATTAAGGACTTCTGCTTGGACCCATATAGGATTGTTGGGACCGTGTCCCCTTACTCCTGGCATTGCCATTGAGATGGGTTTTCCCATCCTGCAGGTATTTCAGGATGCCCAGTCTCACTTGGCAATGAAATTCCATCCCCAGCATTAAAGCTTGTCATGGCACAAGGAGAGTAAAACCCATCCCAACCCATCCCATCCCACCCTGTCCCATCTCATCCCTACTTGCTGTCCCCAAGCCAACGTGACCCCCTCTCCTTGGACTCAACCTGGTAGTTGTCTGTAGCATCCCCAAGCAAGCCCCCAAACGTGATGGCGTTGGTGATGCAGCCCAGGTAGATGAACAAGATAGCAGAGATGGACTGGATATGAAAGCCTTCATAGAAGTCGCTCGGGAACCAGGGCAGCTTCCTCTTGATATCCAAATAGAGGCCACCGCAAAACCTGGAGAGACAACACCAAGGACCAGATGCACGTGCCTTCCACCAAAATAGAGACAGTGCTATGCAAAAGCCTGCGCCCAAAAGGATTTCACCCCTCCGTGCCCCAGGAGACCACGGGGTGAGCCAGGGAGATGTTGATGGGTGCTGGGGTGCTGCTCACCTGCCGGTCCACGCAAGCTCTTCCCCGATTTCATGAACTTCAGGCATCTCCCCATCGTCGCTGCCTCCTCCGCCACCCCCGGCGCCTGCCCCACCGGCTGTGCCGTTCATCTGCCCCACTTCGTTCAGCGAGAAAACTGATTTCCTGTGGGAGAGAGCCATCGGTATCGGCCACGGCACCTGCCCTACCAACCCGGTCCTGATGCAGGGACCACGAGCAAGGCCATGGTGTAGCTCTCCATCTGCACTAGAGCTTGGGTTTTGGGGTGAATTTGGAAAGATCAAGAGCTGGATTTGCTCAACCTAGGTGGTTAATGGAGACTTTTGCAGTGGAAATGGCTTTGAGCTGATCTGGGGGCAAAATCTGCTGAAAAAGCAGCATTTCTGGAAAATTTGCGCAGATTCTTTCTAGGGATGAAGGGAAGCAAAGCTGCTCTCCTCCTCCAGCATCTCCAAAGCAGAAGAGATGGGGATGGCCACAGGGCTGGGGCCGGCCCCACGCCTCCCACCTACCTCTTCTCAGCCGAGGGCACTTTTTTGGGTGGCTCAATCCTAATGTTGGGGTCCCACTCGCCGGGCGGCAGGACGATGACTTCATCCAGAAACTCATCTATGCCAGCGATCAGGTCTTCTCTATCCCGGGCTTTGTAGGCAACATCACTGAAGAGCTGGGGGTCAAGAGAGGAGAGGTGTCAGCCCAGGAAGAGCATCCAGCACGCACACGTCCCGTGTCATTATAGGATCTTAAAGCTCATTTATTTGGGCAATAGGATGAAAATTGCTTTTTTTTCCTTGGCTCTGAGCAAGGGGGTTCCTAGCGAGGGCCGGGTGTTGCATCTACTCACATCATCCACCATGAGGGTTGCGATGGCTCTGCCGATCTCGTTGTAAGATTTGGCTTTTCCCGCAGGACCAAGGAGAATAAAGAGGAACCTGGGAAGGGAAAGGCACAGAGTTGGCAACCTTGAACCACTGGCATCCGTGTCGTGAGACCACTCGTGCTTCGGACCTGAAGGAATTGCGCTCACCTGGTGGGGACGGGCACCTCCGTCACCCCTCCCAGCATCGTCGCCTGGAGGAGCCGCACGAAAGCCACAAAGGGCTTCTCCAGGAACTCCACTTCTCCCACCAGCACATTGGAGGCCTCTGCATCCTTTGGGATCTTCTTGATGAATTTGTTCTTCAGCTGTTGGAAAGACAAGGGTGGGAAAGGGAGCGGTTGCCAAAATTTGGCTTTTCCCCCTCTTTTCCACACCCTGAACGCAAAAGCTGAAGCCGCAGACTCAAACCTCTTGATCTCTGATGGTCCCAGGACTCCCAGAGGTGGGGATTCAAGAGCCATATCCAAGAATAAACCAGCAAGAATTCATAAAGCTGAATTTCTTCGTTGTTCACAACCATCACTAAGGCCGAGATTAACTTGAAATCACACTCTTGGGGCTCAGTAACAAAGTGAGCAACTGGGTGGTTTGCAAAAGGTGCTTTGCAGCATTGGGGTCTACGCAAGGAAAACCCTGTGCAATCCCCCTGCAGAAAATCTGAGCCAAAAAATACGGATCCTGGAGCAAGCCAGCATGCATTTTTACAAGTCTGTTTGCAGTCCCAGGCTCTCCCAAGACCCTATATAATGCAGAAACACCACTCGGCACTGTGCACGGGGGATGTTTTTGTAGCTTATTTTCCCCCAATCTCATCCTCGGAGCAGGAACAAATAATGGAAGTAGGAAACCTCGTTCATGGATTTGTTCCCTGGGTCTCTTCTCCCCTGCAGCTCTTTCATTACTAGTCTAAAAGGGTTCAATACCAACCCAGGCAGGGTGTTATTATAATCTATATGCCAGCATGAGGGGAGGCATGTGAGCCGGGCAGCAAACTCTCCCCTTTCTAATCTTTTAAACCCAAATGGAAAAAAAAAAAATAAATAAAGCAACTCCTCCAATGCAGCTTGGAATAAGCAAGAGCAGGAGTTAACAGTGACCACTAAGCTTCATGTAACACTTAAAAAGTCCCTTTGTAGTGGGCCTAATAGGGCGATTAAACCTAAATGCTTTGCATATTTTGAGATTAACCCTCCGCACCCCACTGCTGGAGGCTGATATTTGGGGTTCGTTAGTGGGCAGTTGGCTTGCTTTATTGCAGCTCTAATTTAGGAAGGTGCCCTCGAAACCTTCTGCCTCCCTGATATTGTGGCAGCCCCATCCTGTGGCTCCCAGCAACACAAACTTCCATCCTTCGCTTTCCCCTAAACTGCATCATCCCAGGTAAGCCCAGCAAGGACATCCCTGGGGAAAAGCAAGCTGTTATCCTGTACTGTCCCCTACAAACCCACCTTTCGTTTAATTTTCCCTTAGGTTTATGCTGAAATCACGCACAAATAGAAACAAAGCAAAGCCCATATAATGCATCAACAGTTCCCAGCTGAGTAGCCTTGATATTGGGATGGGGATGGGACATGTAGCAAAAGAACAGCACAAAAGCCTCTTGATTCATTGCATTGCCAAGCAGAGATCTGCCCACGAACTGCCCGAGCAACCTGACCTCCTTCCCAGCTCTCCCATGCAAAGCAAACCAGGGGGGAAAAGCCCCCGACGGACTCTCAGCTGAGCTTTGCATTAAGAAATCCCACGTCCATCACACTGCAAACGGAGGGGAAAATGGAACCTGCCTCTATATTTACAGACCGTTATCTCGAGAGCTTTATTCACATTTGCAGACCCAAGTGCTTGGCTGGGATTTACCCGCTGCAACCTGCCCTTATCCAGCCAAGCAAAGGCTCTTTTAGAATCCCTGCATTCTTCCAAGCACCTTTCCTTTCCTACCTAAAGATTTTAAGGAATTTTTTTCCTCACCCTAAGGATCTCAAGCTACATCAGCATCCTCGCATATCCCTCATTCTGTGTTCAATTTGCAAGCACAGGTACTATTTCTGGGACAGCTTCCCCATGAGTTAGCAGGGATCAATACATGTATTAATTTCCCTAATTAGGAATCTGTGTGGTTATTGACCGAGCAAAGCTGCACAAGGCTCACATGGACCTTAACAACCACAGAGCCCCTGCCCCATCATGGGTCGTGTCGGAGATGCTCCTCACAGCATCACACTAATGTTTTGGGGGGTGATTACCTGGTCGGTGCTCGGTGTGTCCGAGATGTCATTCATGCTTCGACTCTGCGCGTGACCTGATGGAGATAAGAGGGAGAAGGTGAGAAAACAGCCCCGTGATGCGCAGTCAAATTTCAGCCCCACGTGCAAGGAGAAAACGTGGTGGGAGGACTTCAGCACAAAGGAAAAAAACCATTTTGTATTATGGCTGGCTTTGAAAACCAGGTGCAATGAGATGAAAACCCAAGAATATGAGTTTTTCTGATATCAGTCACCCTGTGGTTACACCAACCACATCTCATTTACGGCTGTGGTGGGATCCCCTTGTAATTGCAATCGCCCACCCTCATATTGCAACCTCATCTTTTTTTTTTTCTTCCTTCTTTTGGGACCGTTTTTGCCTCCCTGCCACCCTCCCCGGCTTACGCAAGCGGCCGTAGCTCGCGCTCTGCCGCATCCGCAGGTCCTCGGTGGAGCGGTGGAAGGCGGCACCGGCGGCCGGGCTCCGGACAGGGCTGCGGGCTGGGGGAGAGGAGACATTAGAAGAGATGCAGGTGCCGTGGGGAAGCATTGGGTGATGCTGAAGGCAAGAGGCCAGGCTGAAAAGCAGCTGCCCAGCACAGACGTGAACCTTCCAGTGCTGATACAACAGCAACTTGCCTTTCCCTCCCACTCTCATTTGCGCTTTTATCCCACCCATGGTCATTTTCCCATTAGCAAAGAATAAATGGCCTTAACGCAAGTCTTCCCGCTGCAGAGGCTCCGTGCAAGGAGCCTGCACCACTCCATGCCCCACCAATGCTCTCTTCAAGGCTATAAATAGGTTCAGAAGTGCAATTTCTGTTACTTGGGAAGATCCAACACTTCAGCTTTTTAATCTCATAATTCTCCAGAGAAACCTACGCTTGAAATTTGCTGTGAACTTCTCACTTCAAAATATTTACATTGGCCACCACCAAGTTTCACGTTAACGTTTCTCCTCCTTAAAATGGTGACGAGTCCCATTTTTCATCTCAGATGTTTAAACTGAATTACTTCACTATAAAGACTTCCCTTTTCCCCCATGCATTTTCTGTGTTAAGCCCAGCATTTTCTCAGAAAACCTCCTGAATTCCAAAACCTGTGTTTTCCTTTTGGAAAACCATCTGGACCAGTTTTGTTGAGCTGCTCTGCATCTCTCTGAGAGAGCAGCTGCAACCACAGCATCTATCATCTTTTTTTGTTGTTTTGTTAAACCCACTAAAAATAATTATGAAATTCCCACTGGCCATGACCCTATTTTCAATGTGCCGGTGCCATTTATTCCAATACCACAGAGTTGCTGTTGGCACAAGAAATGTGAGGGACCCCTCTGCTCCTGCCAACGACCATCTTTTCCTTGGTGTCCCTGTTTGCAAACTCAAAGCAATGCCATCGTCTCAGCAAGGAACCAGAAACACAAAAGATGCCCCTATTTTCCCTATCTACAGGGACTAACCACCACATTTCCAAGTCCTGTTCCGTTTTGAGAGCTTCTGGGCAAACGTTAGCTCAGATATCTAGTCCTCCAATGTGGATGATGGCTGCCTTGAAACCTGGGGATGCCCACGGGGTGGCAATATTGCTTATTGATGGCCTCTTCCATGTGCGCTCTGAGCTCGGGCGCTGCTGTTTCTGGCTACCCAGGGAGCAGCCGAAGCCCGGCAAATCCCGGGCTCCACCAAATGACCTCTGTTTAAACCTAAGTAAATAATCTAGCGTGAAAACAAACAAATGCCCTTTTATAATGGCTCAAAAATAGGCAGGTTCAACTGCGGAGCAGACTGGATTTGTCTGTAGGCTGCTCTGCCAGAAAGCCCCTTGGCCAAGCAACCGCCAACGCCATTGTCCCTCACACAACGCCGTTGTCCATCTCAGCAGACATCTCCTTGGCCTCTGGCTCCCAATGACCCCCCACCCTTAAAGCCACCAGTGGCAGAGCTTTTGAGGTCTTTCGCAATGCAGTAAATAGTTGGGTGCCCCCAAAGGTTGGGTTTCCCTTTTTCATTCTCCTGAGATCTTCCTCCCCCCCGGGCTTGCTCACCAAAGTCTCAAGGATGCAATCGGGCACAGGTTGGACCCCAAGGACTCACTTGTGTTGGAGGAGACGGACTTGCCGATGTCGGCCAAAGACCGGTGGATTGGCTTCTTGGTTTGGTGACGGTGCTTCCTGAGGAGCACGTAGCTTATCTTCTCCCGCAGCTCCGGCTTGAGCAGACCGTCCTCAATCTGCTTCTCAATGACATCGTCTGCAAGCACCAAACAAGGGAGGTGCATGGGTTCCCCCACTGCAAACCCTCCCAGAAAGCTCAAGATAACAACACTCATCGAACCAAGTTGATGGCTCTCAACTCCTGTCTTTGCTTATTCCTGTGCAAGTTGGTTTATAGTTTCATGCAGCAAGTAAATGCATTTAAATCTGTTCCCAGCACTTCAGGACATGGAGAAAAAGCCATCCGAAACCACCAATACCCGCTGGCTCCTACCTATAATCTGGGGCAAAGAGTAGCCATCTAAGTCCAGGAGCACTGTTCCCGTCTGCAGACACGTCCGCAGCTCAAACAGGCTGTGCAAAGACAACGTGGACACGTGGGGCTTGCTCCACCTTTCACCACCTTCTTCCACCTTTTCTTCAAACTTTATCCACCTGAAATGACAGCAGCAACCAGGGGGATGGGCACGGGGTGGGGATGGTGTATGAGAAGAGAAGAGAATTGCTTTTCCTGTGGAGTTGCCCTTCTGCAGGCGGCTTTGGAAGCCTGAATTAAATCATCCTGCAAAGTTTTTGCTTGTTATTCAGGATGGGAATGGAGAAATCAAGTAATGTCATTAGATGAAGTACTGCTTGCATGGTTGCAGAGCAGAGCAAAACCTCTCGGCTCTATCACTGAACTCAACCCTGCAGATTTCACCCTCCTCAAATTGCTCCTGTGAGATTTGGGAGGTTTTCCTGTGGAGCTGACCTTGCCTTAGCCAGGATCTGCACCCACATGGACCAGCTGTGCATGCAAGAAAGCAAAAACCCAGGGCGTTGCAAATGTCTTTTTAATTTCTTAGCAACACTCAGATTTCAGCCTGGGTGCTCCATTCCCACAGTGGGAGACCAGAGGGTTTGCAAGCCCTTGGAAATCAGCCCTTCCACCTCCATTCCTTATTTTTACAAACCAAAGACTTCAGAGCAAATTCAAGAGCATTGACTGATTTCTTCCAGCTCCCCAGGAATGGGGCTCAGGCTCTGGGGAGGGCAAGGAGCTCTCAGCAAGACGTCAAGTTGGGGAAGAAAGCTGCTTTTCCTTTACAGGAGGTTTGCAGGCTCTATGGATTAGCCTTCACAGGGCTTAACCTTACAACTTTTAACTGGTACAACTGGGATTTGGGCTCCTGCCGCCGCAGAGGGCACAGACGGAAAGGATGTAGGAGGACAAGGGTTTTTGGAAATAGCTGATGGCTCCTGAACGCTGCAGGGGAAGGGTGGGGAAAGTCTGGGATTGTATCGGCTGCTGGGGGTGCATTAAGATGCTGCTGCAAAGAGTAAATGCCATGTGTCCCTACTAAAAAAGGCCCGAAAATATCATCTGGGAGTGCCAGGAATGGTCTTGTGCTGGGGACAAAACCCCAGCATATCCAAAAATAAAAAATTTGGCCCTAGTGCCCATCAATCCAAAGCTCCCCACCCCATTTTTTTTGCAGAAACCCGTTCTCCAGCCCTTTAAACAACACTGCTTTTACTGGGAGGAAATTCAAGCTTCCCGCCATAGCACCCACTAAGCCCCGCTGGTGCTTGCCCAAAGCCGATTAGGTCGCTTTTCGTTTCTTTTGTGCCCCGTCTTCCTGCCGAAAGTGGGTTATTAGCGTGCAGACGGGGTGGCAGCTTGGGGCGGCGTGTGGGACTCAAGGCATGTTTCCAGCAACGCCTTTGCCCCGGGACCAGCATCCCATGATGCTTTCGCCAAGGCTACAGCAAAACCCCATCTCCCTGCTGTGCTCAGCTTCTTTATTTCCATTTCTTTCCATTTCTTGCGGATTTAGCCACAGGTAGCACTGCTCCCACCAAGGAGCTGCTCTCCTGTGGCTAAAGAGGCTGAACCGCTCCTCGCCAGAGAGCGGAAATCCGGGACTTGAGAAACCTCCGTCTCCCTGATGAAAATCCCAATACAAGTGCTGATTTTTTGCCTTCCAAGCTTTTTGGGGTGTGGGGAGGGATGAGTAGATACAGACCTATGCAAAATTGGGGGTTGAAAAATAAAGGATTTTAGCAACAGCATCCCTGGGCTTCTGTGTTTTGAGCAGGGACACCAACCAGGAGGATGCTTAAGAACTTTCCAAATTTTTGGTGATGCAAATGACCAGCCAAGAGATAGGAGGAGCACCCTCAGGGCCTGATCCTGCTCACTCCCCATTCCTCGGGCAAACCTCCACACCCAGACTCAGAAATCCCGCATGTGCTACTGAAAAGAAAGGGCTTGGGATGCCATGAGCATCCCTGACTCCCTTCCCAAATGTCCCCCCAAAAACCCCAACCCTGCTAGTCCTTGCACAGCCAAGGCTAGGAAGAGAAAATCCCACTAGGATTTGAGATTTTTCCCTTGGATAAGCTCCTAATTCAGTAAAGCGAACGCCACTTGCAACTCCTCTAATACTTTTATTAAAGACGAAGTGGGTGGGGTTTTATTATTATTATTGCTTGAGGGGTGGGAGAAGTTTAACTCTTGGACTGGTCAGCAAAATTTGGCGGCGGGGGGGGGGAAGACCTGGGAAAATGTTCTTTATGTCCCCTATTCCCATTTCCCAGCTCTCTGCTCTAATTCTCCAGTTTCCCAGCATGTTATCCCAGTTTTTTTCACCCTCCCAGCCCTTTCCGCAGGACTTTGCTCTCATGCTACAACTGGGAATGGGAAAAACCCCAGCTCTGGGTTCGATCCAACCTGGGGAGACGCTGGACAAGATAGGAAATCTTCCTCCCTTCTTCCTCCTCCTCCTCGGCAGGCCGCAGCTGCCGTGCAAAGCCCCCCAAAACACCATGTTTTCTGCATTTCCCTAATTCAAGCATGGCTTTTTTAACCTCATTAAAAATGATGCTCATTCCCTGACCCCGTTTCCACCCAGGAATATTTAGGGGGGGGATCTTTTCAACCCAAAGCTTCACCTGGCTGACTCTTTCCATTCCATCTCCTCGCCGTCGTGCTGCAGCGTGTCCATCTCTGTGAAGAGCGTGGGGTTGGGAGGCTCATCGTCTTCCCCCAAGATGTAGCGAAGTCGTTCGGCAGCCGGTGACACTGCCGGGGGGAAGGAAAAAAAAGGTTTACCATCGGCTGGAGACAACATGATCCTGTGCCATTCCCATATGGAAAGCTCCGGAGGGGTAAAAAGGGATCTGTAGGGCTATTTAGGATCCTGGGGTCAAAAAAGGAGATTTTGAGGGAAATGACAAAGGTGAGAGACATTGAGGAGTGGGGAAACTCTAAGTAGTTGTGTCCCAAAATCCCTGTGCAAAGAGATACAGAATGCTGGCAGAAAGGATGAGTGGAGGCTGCATAGCAGCTAGGAAGGGAATATATAGGTCCCGGCTGGGAATTGAGGAATGTGGCCACCCCTATATACAATTCCCTTTCCAGGAGCATTATGTGCCCCATTTCCATGGAGTATCCCACATTTTCCCCTACCACAGAGCCTGTTTTTGCCAGGTTAGAGCCATCTGCCATCAGCAACCAAATCCTTACGGTGTCTGACACTGCGCATCGGGATGCACGAGTGCTCGGCACACGTTTTCCCACTGGATCCCCGAGGGGAACGTGTATCATTTGAGGGGAATAATACAAATTTACCATTTCTGCAGGAAAAATCCAGCTTCTTGCTGCAAATAACCAGCCAGGCTGGGGAGGGCACTTAGAGCCTCCTGCTCCCTGCGGTGTGTTTTGGGAAGGGGAGCGGTGACATGTCACCCCCCTGCAAACCTCCTGACTGATGGGAAAAAGGATTTTAATCTTTGGTGCATTCCCTGCAGCCACGGGAGGGTGATGGACCTGCCCTCTCCACCTGAAAAAAAGCCAGGCTGGGCTTTCTTTTAACCCTCTCCATCTTCCCGTGTTTTTTTAGCAAAGCCTCCTAATTTTGGTCACAAGGAGGAATCAAACACCAGGGTATGAACCTGGACGTGGCATGGATGGGACTGCTCCCCAGTTGCCCCATTATTCAAACGAGAGGTTAAAATCAGCGCTACTCCAGGCTCTGTGGAAATGGTGCATTTTTAATAAAATCTTGGGTCTTAGCCCTCTCCTAATACAGCAGGAGTTAATCCATCTCGGAAAATGTCTTTGCTAGCAGAATCTTTCTGTTCTCAAACCTAGGAATAAGAAAGCTTGGTGATACGGTACGCAAAAAAGCAGGTAATTAAATTGCTGTGCGCAAGCAGTGGAAAAACCAGGAATATTGCCCTGTCCCCTCACCAAAGGAGACGAAACCCAAGTCGCGGCGGCCGTGAAAGAATAGGATGTCCCTTGCGCTCTAGGCTGAGCCTGCTTAACTGCTTAAACCCTTTAAGCCCCACCACCAGGACTAAAGCCCTGTTGTCAAGTCCTCCTTCCACTTCCATAAGCTTCATTATTATGATTATTAAGATTATTAATATTCCTGTTAATTTTAGAGCTGGGCTACGTGCCTGGAGGGCTTCAGGCTCTTTAAGCCTAAGTGCTGTTCGCGTAAGAGGGGATGAAATCGGTGCAATACCAGTACCCCCCCGCCCCCAGCCTCACGCCGTCTGCTTTGCTCTGCAGCCCAAACCTTGAATTTCCTGCAAAACCCCAAACTCACTGCAAATGCAATAAGCTGGACCACAAAAAAAAAGAAATTTGCTGGGAATAGCCACCTCGGGTGGGATCTCTGGATGCATTTGTAAAAAAAGAAGAATTTGCAATTTTGCAGGAGGTGGTGGCGGAGGGGTTAGAGCTTTGCAAATCCTCAACTTCGTCGTTGCTGCTCCCAGCTCTGCCCGAATTCCCCCCTTGGGTGCTTAAGAACGGGTCCCTCCTGCTTCGACCTGCCAGAGGGTCCCCCCAGCAACTTGTTTTGGGGGTGTCGTGGCTGTGACACTCTTTAACCGCTAGAAACCACAAAAAATAAATGAAAGCTTGCACATAAAGAGCTTTTTGGGGATTTTTAAGCTTTTTTTCCCCATCATCCCCCAGTTTAAGGAATAAACCTATCTCTCAACACGTAACATGTGCTTCCTGGCAGCAGCTGCCTCTCCCCGCCGCTCACTGACCCGAGCAAAGAGCCGGTTACTAAACCAACAATGCTGGGGCTTGGCTACGCAGCCAAAATTCATGGGATTTATTCACCTGGAGGACCCTTTCGTGCCCGGGAAAGCACCCAGCCCGGCATCTGGTTACAGCCCAGTTCTGGGTGATTTTTATTTTTTTTTTCCTCCTGGAAATATGATCCAGCACCTAAACTAATCCCGGGAAGCAGCAGGTATTCACTTAGGAGGATATACTGTATAGTGGTGTCCAGGGCTTGGCACCTCTGGGGAACGCAAGAGTAAAACTGCTGCAGCGACACTGACCAAAATCCACAAAGCCACCCTAAAACTGGCATCTATTTCTTGCAAGACACAGTTCAACAGGTGCCCAGAGCAGATCCGTACCTCCCCGAACCAGCTTTTATGATGGGAAAACACTCAAAGCTGCAATTCCTGCTTTACACCCATCAAACCTCCACTGTGATTTCAGCCATGGTGGGTTCCGAATCAAACCCAGAGCCACAGAATTAGCTCAGCAGTAACACTGGTGATAATATAGGATAATTGTATGTACACAAGAACCTGCATTTCCGCAGGTCATCGGACAGGGCAGACCAGTTGCACTGATTTATACCCCCTTTAATTTGAGGTGCACAGAGCCCTTCACACCCCAACTTTGATCAAGCAGTAAAACCTCGCCTAGCAATGCTTTCCCAAATGAAAAATCCCACTCTGGGCACAGGTACAATTAAAAAAGGTGATAAAATGGGGGATGGGGGAACGCGGTACCGCCCGGGCTTTGCAGTCCAGCTGGGCAGCAGGACTGAGCCTTATTGAAGGCTCTGGCTCGTTAACCATCCGCTGCCGTAGTCCTTCTGAACACGCGACAGCCTTTCCCCAGGGTTTCATGGCTCAGAATGTTCCCCTCCCTCCCAAAAAAAGAGGAAACTGGAGTGCACATGCCATGGGATTAGATGCTCCATTCCTGTTCAAGAAACCCCTAGGTCTGGGAGACTTTTCTCCTTCCAAATATCATCTTTCCTGCTTCCTTGCTGCTGGGGAGCAGTGGAAGCTGATACAGTTCCCCCCCACCTTATATTTCTGGGGTGAGCTTTGGAGCTTGGAGCTCTGAGCGAGCTCTCAACCCAACCCCATGCAGGCTCCCAAGTTGCTTTAACAAGGGAAAAGCAAAGCCAAAAAAAAAAAAGGAGCCTTTCTTCCCTTCCAGCTCCCCCCGCCACGGACGCCAAAGAGCGATGGAAATAACTTACCTGGAATTGTTTCCATTTTTTCCCCCATTTCTTCCCGGCTAAACCAAACCTTTGCTGCACGGTACAAAAAAAACCCCAAAAAACCAAACCCCCAAACTTCCTCCTTTATCCACTCAGGCTTGTTAAACTCCCAAGGCTTAAGGAGCAGATTATAGAGAATATAAAGCACTTTCCTTTCCCTTTGGCTCTCATGACGGGAAGTTACCAAATCAAACGGGATGCGTGTAGGAGAGGTGAGCACTTTGGATGGCAGCGGGATGGCGTGAGTGAGAAAGGGGAGGGAGGGAGAGGTGGGAGGACAGAAATCAAAGGTTTGGAGGTATTTTGTGGAGGGTTTCTGTTTCTCAGCCGGAACGATGTGGGAAAACCCCCTCCAAACTCAGGGCAGAGAATTTTTCTGGGAAGAAAACCCCTGGGGGAAAGCGGGGCTGCTGTAGAGTTGAGGCTTTTTGGGGTGTTTCTTCCCCCAAAAATGCCCTTGCCCCCCCCCCCCCCAAACCAGCCCAGTGTTAGATCCAGTGGCATTCATCGCCTGCGGAAAGGAGGGGACGTGGTCCCGCTCGCGCCGCCACCGAAGGCATGAAGGAGCTGCAAGCAAAGCCCGTTGCAAATAAAAAAACCCCTCCCCAAGCAAAAAAAAAAAAAAAAAGGAAAACTTCTCCTTCTGTAGGCAAAAGCAAAGCTGAGCCTCTGCCCACTCTGCTGAGCCGTGACATGGTCTGCTCAACATAAAAACAAATGCAAATTTCCATAGGGGGGGCTGAAAAAAAACCCAGACAACCCCAAGAGATCGACAGCTGCTTTGCTGTGCAAAATGTTAATCTTCACTAAGGAGATTTAACGAGACCGGGCAAAGCCTTGGGCAAAAGCCTGTCGGGAACAAGGTGTGATGCCCAGAGGACGTCTGCACTGCCGGGATCCCGCTGTACCCAGATTTCTTCGTTAGCAACCACCCAAGGGCAAAGACAACTTCTTTTTTAGCCCGCCCATCACCTACACAGCCTCAAATCCCATTTCACACCCCATGCCCGGCTCTCGGAGACATCCACAGGGAAAAATAAACCTGCGAAGCATCAGGAAAAGCAGTGCCAAATGCAAACACCAGACCAAGCAACATGGCTAGGTGCATGGGGGCGATTTAATCCCGGATTAAATGACGCTGCAAAAGCCCTTCTGCTTTTTCCGGAAGCCCGAGGGTGACTCACTGGTCCTGCTGGCGTTGTCGTTGCCACTCTCGTAGCAGCCGTGGCCACCATCATCGGTGTCGGAGCGATCCTGGCGCTCGTAGTGCCGCTCGCTCTCGCTCGTCCTATCCCGGCTGGAGGCAGATCTTCGCCGACGCCGTTTCCTCCGGTAGCCCCGCGGCACTGGCACCCCGATGTAGATGGAGTGGTAATCTGGGGGTGGGGGGGAGGGGGAATACGCTTTAGAAAAAAAGCCAGGGAAATATTTGCCTTCTTCCCACCAGGCTTAAAGCACCCACAGAAGCTTTTCCCATGTTGTGCATGGGATGTGCCGAGCTGAGCGCCAGGAGATCTGATGCATCAGCCAGCAGGAAAGACCCCGCTGCAATTTGGGGCATCCCCAAGGTTTCGCTCACCTTCCTCATCTTCATATCTCCTCCTCGAGCTGCTGAGCCCTCTCTCGCTCATCCCATCCTCATCCTCCAGCATGGTCCCGCTGCTTGGAGAGAGCTGAGCCGTGGGGAGGAGAAAGGAGAAAGATTTTAAAGGGTGCTGGGCAGGGGAACAGCTCTTTGCACGCCCAGCAGGTGCTCCCCACTATGGGAATCCTTCACGTGTGATCCCAGTGAAATCACGGAATCCTTCCCGGCCGGGGTTGGATGCTCCGGGGAGCCGGGACCTTCCCTGCGGATGCACCGGGGACCCTCCGGCACCTCCTGCAAGCGCCCACGTCTCGCCTCAGCAAGTTCTCAGTCCTGCCTCGCTCTGCGCCAGCCCTGCCTGCGCTCCACCTCCGCTCTCCCCATATTGAAGAAAATCCGGATAAATTTCACCGGGGTTACGTCTCTGGTCTCTTATTTCTGCTGCTCAAAGGAAGGCGTAAGTGAAGCGTAAGAGATTATTGCAGAGATTTGCTGATACAATTACGGACACAAGTTCAGTTAACAGGGGTTACTTGCTGGCAATAAGCACCCGTTTAATTTTCAGGGGGCACCTGCACAGATAAAAGGGTTTTGCAGAAGCAGAGCTCGTTTTTCCCCATCTCCTAAGCACAGATTTTACACCGCACACGTGCTGTCGCTTCCAGGTATCTTCCTCCAAACCTGCTGTTTTATTCCCCATATGAGTTTCTTTGGATTTTGCCACGGATGCTAATTAATCTCCTAATTATCTGACCTCCAGTGATTGCCTTTCACACTTGACTTGGATGGGAGAATGGTTACTATTCATGGCAGCCCGGTCGATGCCTCCCAAAGTCACTTTGAGAGCGGTCAGAGAGCCAGCCTCTCCACGTCCCTCGTTCCGGCTGCTTGCATCCATGGCAATATCATATCACTATCCATCTATTTTAGGGAAGAAAAAAATCTCAATTCAAGCCAAATAGGTTAAAAATATAAAGTGAAGGGGGTGTGCACCTAAATAGCTGGAAAGGTCCGAGGCTGGCCAGGTTGACTCTGCTTGGGTTGCCCAATTATTGACCCATTTTCCCCCAAGGCAAAGACTATCTTTAGCCCGATACAGGCTCCAGCCTTAACCCGGTTGCTGTTTGAAGACACCTCTTAATATAACAGATTTGGGATTTTTTTTTTTGGACCACATTAACTCAACACTTTTTGCACAGGTGCAGGAACCAATTTATTTTAGGGGCAAACACCTCTGGAGGGACAACAGTGCCCCAAACCTGGGTGTATTAAGGGATAACATCAGTCACAAGCCTTGGCTTCCTGGGAATAACATTATGGGGCTAATTCTGAGGATTTTAGGAAGCTGGTGCTGGCAGGAGAAACCATGAAATACCACCCAGCTGCAGGCATAAATATTTTTGCTCTAAAAACAACCTGGTATCTTCTAACAGATGAAGTGCCACAAAGCCCCCCAAAAGAGATTTCCCCACGAGCTTCAGCACTAGGTCAGGGTCTCCAGATGATGGATGGGGATACACAACCCTTCAGCTGGGTCTATATTGGGAAGAAATATGACTTTTTTTGCAATCTAGCTTGGCTGGCGAGATCTCTACCACAGCTCTGTTGGGCAGCAAAAATAACCCATCTTCTGATAAACCCACGCTTTGTTAGATCGACTGATAAATGAAACGTCCTGATTGATTATGGCTGATTTATGAGAGTCATATAGCCTAGGATTTTTTCCTCTAATTTTTTACATATAAAACTCCCCCCCCCAAAAAAAACCCTTGCATACAAACACAAGCACGACGCAGACTGTAACTGTTGGAAAACATGACTGTAAGTGCACTAGAAGTAAGGGGAGGAAAAGGAGAGCGCTGTTATCTTTGTCAATTCAAAATGCCCACTACCCCCACCAGCTCTCAGTTCCACAAAACCAAGTTTTACTGTTAATAAACTCACCTTGAGCTTCTGATTCTCAGAAATCGGAGGATGGATGGGGCCGCAGAGTAAAGTCACGGGTGCTAGTGGGTGCGGGAGCCCAGATTGCCTTGAGATAAAACTGCTCTTGCAACCATCGTATCGATGCCTACTGCCAAACGCTTTGTAGCTCCCAGGTTAAAATGTATTTTGGGTGACACTGATTGACTTTGGGAGCAGAAAGGCATCACGGGATGCAAATAGACCTCCAGAGAGGATGGGACATTCAAGCCACCAGAGACCTGGTCTTGCGCAGTGATGGTTTCTAGATATCAGACCACCGGGATGTAGGAAAATTCAAGTTGTCCATCCCCAACTTGCAGGATCTGTGTCTTCTGGGGTTGTTGGGGGGCGGGGGTTGCATCAGTTTTGGCTCAATCGCTAGGGATTTGGGAGGGCAACTGCTTTTATTTTTTTGCTCTGTGCCATATCATGTACATCTGATCTTAAGGAATGGGAGTAAAATTCATCAGGGAGGTGCAGAGAAGCATCAACATCAGTGAGAAAGCTCCTAAAACCTCTAGGGACAAGAGGATCAGCCCCTGGGCCATCAAATACAGTTTGGGGAAGGGGGAGGTGTTGATGAGGGTTGCACAACGAATTATTTTGCAGTTTCCATGCTTTGCTTTTAACGTGTTGAACATCCGTAAATTTCATTTCATGAAAACCAAGCTCCCAGTCACACGAGTATGCCTGCTTTGCTTCCCGAGCTGTCCGCTTCTATTTAACGCCTGGCTTGCTCCCCTCCACTTAGCCTTTTAACAGGGGTATCAATAAATCCACATCAAAGCAATGCCCGGCACTTCGTCACAACTGGCCTCATCGTTAAACTAAAAAACGAGGATTGGGAAACCAGAGTTTGTGCTTTAAGGTCATCCGATATCGGGGCTTTTCTCTTGCCTCTGGGGAGATTATTCGATGGCACGATCCAGAGTCTCAGCAGAAGCAAAGCAAAACCTGTTTGATACTTTATCCCTGCTCCCATTTTCCTCCCAGCTTCTGTTTTATTAGATTTGCTCTTCCATGTGTAGCAGGGTCAGGTCTGGAGCAAGGCAGCCATGATTTCAAGATGCAAAATTTAGGGTGAATTAGGGAATATTATTGGCATCCTGTTTATTTAGACTTAGGAGGCATGTTTGTAAGCAGGGAGAAAAGCTTTTGCAAAGCGCACTTATGATTTCATGCTCTTGCTTAAATCTACCTTTCCTGTTTTCCAGGCATTTGCAGACCAACTGTCCATGGGAATAGGGGAGCCGGGTGCCCAAGCTGATGCATAAATCGACTTCTCCCCATCTCCCATTGCTCACCACCTGCCAAAAACCAGTATTAATCTGGACATGAAAACCTGTTTGCATCCGACCAGTTCAATGCTGTCTGTGCCGGGGTCCAGCATCAGCAGGCTCTGCCCAGCCAGGAAAATGGAATAAAGATGTTGGTGGCTGCTTGTCCTGTAAATAAAGAGAAAATAATAAAAATGAACTTTCTTTCTCCAAATACATGGAAATACAAAGAGCAGGCTGAATTTATCAGTTTGTATTTCTTAAGGTTTTACTAAACACCTCCTGGAGAGAGGGGGAAGAAGGAAGAAAAGCAAAGTCCCAGAGCCCACGAGCTGCCTGGGTAAAGGCAGCAACCCTGTTATTCCTTAAACAATCACGCTCACCCAATTTCCCTGGGCTGCAGGTTTTACCTTCCTCACTTGCAAAAAACCAAAACCCCAATTTTGGCCATACTGTTTTAAAAAAATTCAATAACCCTACCGCTCAGCTCTTGAGGTTCCCAGCTCCGTTTTCAACGTGATTTGCAGAAAAAACCCACAGTCCCAAAAGTGTTTTTTCAAGCCTGTGCTGAGGATTGCTTCTCGTTTAGTTAAAAAATAAAGCCTGAAAACAGTCAGAAGAGGGAGACAGAGCCCGGCAGTCGCACCCCAGCGCTCACCCACTTTTTCCTGCTTGAGCATCCAACTAAATGAAGCCAGCCTCTGGCTTCCAAAATACCCTTATTAATAAAAAACACCACTAATAAACCCGTTTCCTTCACCGAGCAGTGCTGCAAACACATTGGTCTTCTGAAAAATAGACCTTTTTTTTCTTTGCATTTCACTTTTGAGATGATTCCTCTTGCTTGATAGATGTGGCAGCTACAGCTGCCCCAGGGTACCCGTGGGATTTGGGTACATCGGGAGAGAGAACAGGTCCCTGATCTATGCTCCCTCCTCTGCATTTGACTTACGGGTGCTGGGGGAAGCTTTATCATCAGTAGGTTATTGCTGAGCCTGCACCAGAGCAGCCCAGGGACCTTTGCAGAGGGTTTCACTGTTGTTTGTTGGTTTTTTTTTTAATAAAACCACACTCATATTTTTGCAATTCATCTGCTTGAGGTTTCCCTCTATGAGCCCATTTCCCAATGTGGCTCAATTTACCGGTCTGGGGTTGGATGCAAGACACGTCGGCTATTTAATTCCTATATTCCGAGTGATGTGGGAGGGAATTGCCGCCTTGATCACAAAGTTGTCCTAAAAATGAAATACTATAAAAGGTAATTCCTTACCTGGTCATTAGAGGTTGGTCTCCAGCAGAGGGGAGTTACCACCATCTCCAGGGGCAGCACGTTGCCACGACAAAGCTGTCTTTGCTTTAAAAATTGCTAGGCTCTCCTTTTCCTTGCCTGGGGATAAAAACTGAAAGCCGCAGTTCATGGGGAAGAGCTGGAAACCTTCAGAAATGGGTGTTTTCCCCCTGTGCAAGCCTTGCCCAAACATTCACCTCACTCCAGGAGGAGGAAGTTGTGCCTCCCTGGGGATCTGATTCCTGGAAAAGCCCTTTGGAAAGGCTCTGCAGAGCAAGCTGCTCCATTTTTTCCTTTAGTTATGTCTTTCTGGGCCCTGGGCACACCCGGGCTCTGGCCACATCTAGGGATCTACCATAAAGCCACTATTTTTCAGGAGATCGGGCTAAATATAACTATAAAGATACCACAAAGTGCAATAATGATGGTGCCGCTTCCCTCCCCGATGGCCTGACTGGCATGCAGCGAGTGGAAGCGACTTTGCAAAACACGACAGTAGTCACATTTATTGTGTAAAAAAAACCCCTAAAAACCAAA